AATGAATAAGGAAGACTGCTCTTCACTGAAGCCACCATATGATGTGCTGATTTTAAATGTCACAGGATAATTAGCTCACTAAAGACTACATTTAAGTTAGTTGTCTAGCTTATTACGAGGACTAGAAGAAGTCAGTTATTTTTGTATGCTCTAGTATCCAGTGCAATATTCCCAGAGAGTTATTCAGTTAACAAATGTTTGCTAAAAAATATCTGAAAAGAAAATCAGTATCTGGAAATTTAAACTGTTTTTATTCTAGACAGTTAAACATTCTAAACTAATGTAAATTGATAGTATCACATTTGCTGTGATGAATAAAGCAAACATACATAGAACATTTTCACCCAAGACACCACAGGGACTCCCAGGCAGCGACCAGCCTGAATGACTGTCCACTGCCTGGATGAGAATTCAGAGTTCCCAAATGGAAAACACTACAGATCCTTTCCCTGAAGTCAAGCAGACTTAGACCGCTTTCTGGAGATTAATAATTATCCTGGAAGCCTGAAGCAGGCTTTAACTAAGCACTGGCATTTGGAGAAGCTCTAAATCGGGCTCTAAGTTTAATTTAGTGCATTCTAAGGTGGATCCAACATTTTCAGAGAATGCAGGAAAGGAAAAGGGATGTCATGTTTCCACATTTCCCTGGGGTCAATTCCATTTATGGGTCACTGATAAAGGAATGAATCTGGCTTTTTTTTAAAGTTAGGTTTATTGAAGTATAATCTAAATACAATAAAATTTACCCTTTTTAGCATACAGTTCTGTAAGTTTTAATAAATGCATACAGTCATGTTCTACCACCACAACCAAGCTATAGCACATTTCCATCACCCCCAAAAACTGTTTTGACAATTTATGGTCAATCCTTCCTCAGCCCCTGGCAACCAATGATCTGTTTTCTATCTCTCTAGTTCTGCCTTCTCCAGAATGTCATACACATTGCATCTATAGTATGTAGCCTTTTGAGTCTGGTTTCTTTCATCTGTCATGATATAGCTGGCAACAAAGCCAACGAGACTGGGATACTGAGTGGAAAGGAGAGTGGTAGGAATTGCAACTGGAGAGACGGAGAGAGCCAAATCACATAGGGACTTACATGCCATAACAAAAATTTTGGATTTATAGTAGGTGTGATGGGAAGCCACTGGAAGGTTCTGAACAGCTGAATAATGTGATCTGATTAACTTAAAATAATTTTGGCTACTGTGTGAAAGATATACCACAATGGAACAGAAGTAGAAAAAAGGAAGCTAGTGTAAAGACTACTGCAATTGTCTGGGTTAAACGTGATAGGGGGGTGACTGGCTGGCTCAGTCAGTAGAGCATGCGACTCCTGATCTAGGGGTTGTTAAGTTCGAGCTCCATGTTCGAGCTCCATGTTGGGTGTAGAGATTACTTAAAAATAAAGCCTTAAAAAACAAAAACAAAAACAAAAACCCATGATAGTGACTACAATGGCAACATTGGAAGTGGTGAAAAGTGGTCTGGTGACAGGTGTAATTCAGAGGAAGGGATACCGGAACTGGAAGTAGCATCTGAGGAAAGAGGAGGCAAAGATGATCCAAGGAGTGTGACCTGAGCAACAAGGTAGATGGTGGTATTTACCAGGATGGATAAAGGGAAAAGACAGGGGAAGAGGGAGAGGCACATTGGAGGGGGGGGAGGCGGGAGAATCGGAAGTTCCATATATTTGGACATCATCAGCATACAGATGATACTGCATCTCTCTCCTCCATTCTGTTGATCTGTATGAACCTTTGGTAGAGATATTTAACAGTCCTTGTCCTCTTACTCCTTAATACATGAGTGAATACAGTGGATAATACATTTACTCTTTACTTCACTGAGTTCCTAGAGCTAAATCTAAAAATATATGGTAAGCTGTAAATGTTCAAGGCTAGAGAGCTCTTCCATTTCTCACCTTTATTTTCTACATAAGTAAGAACTTCGTGAGTTTCATAGGAAGGATTGCCTCTAAATTTTACATATACTTTTTTTCTCAGAATACTTATTGGTTGTTCAATTGCATTGGCTCAAATGAAATAAGAACAGAAAACATTTTGTAAATGACTGTAATTTTTCTTGCTTTAAAATGTTTTCCAGTATTTACTGATTAATTGGTGAAAAAGCATTTAGTGGTCCATCCTTTCCAACTTATGAGATCAAGTTTATGCTTTCGGTATGGTGAAGAAGTACTTTTTGCTTACCCAGACCCTCACTATGAGGAAAGGGTAATGGCAACATAATGCAGAAAAACTAGAGCATGTGGAGTAGAGGTTCACTGTGTCTCCTTTCCTCAGGGAGCCCAACAGTCCAAGTACAAGGGAGGAGCACTGATCACGCCCCTACTTCCATTTGTACCTGAGGCCACCAAAGTAGAGTATTTGGTATACAGGATGACCACTCCAGTCACAGCTCCATTCATTTATTCATCTATCCATCTATCTTCCACTCATCCAACTGACCATTAGCAATGCATTTCTTGAAAGTCTTTTTTTACCTTAAAATCTCATGCAAGTTCATCATCTCTAATGCAACTGCATTTGCTTTAGTGTAAAAATGTCTTTATTTACTTACCATTGAGTAAAACTGACATTCCAGATAGATCTAGTATAAGACCTCTATGTACAGTTGTGCAGGTTATGTACTGAACACCTCATGGGTGGGGGAGTGAGGGCTGGGAGCCTCCATTCATGCTGTAAGTCTTGGGATTTGGATTGCAGTAAAATGCTTTGAGGAAGAAGCACCTTTTTTTTCTAATTTGTAAAGGTGCCATACGGACTAATACTAGCCCAGAACTTTGTATACCTTGCCACATGGACTGGGCATAAGCCTGAACCACCCTCATTATTTTACTCATGAAGAAGCCAAGTTCCAAGAGGTATAGGGACAAGTTCCCATGGCTACTTCATGGCAAATCTAGGTTTGATCTCAGTCTCTATTCCCATTCTAGTGCTCTTTTATAGCAACATGCTACCTCTGCTAACAGTGGGTTGCTCCTCAGGTGTGTGTGTTTTGTTTTTGTTTTTGTTTTTTTACTGTTAAGCTTTTTACATTTTTTTTATTCTTATGTTAATCCCCATACATTACATCATTAGTTTTAGATGAAGTGTTCCATGATTCATTGTTTGTGCATAACACCCAGTGGTGTGTGGGTTTCTGAAGCACTCTTTCATTTCTTTGCTCAGCCTAAAGAGAGGCCTTTGTAGGATGGTTATCTCAAGCTGCTCTTGCATTTGTTTCTGCCATGAATGGATATAGAGAGATACAGCAGTAGCTAGACTTTTTGGCAAATATTCAAAGTAGTGAAGTTGCTAGATTGCAAGCTCCAACAGCAGGACCCATGTCTAACATTCTTGTCATTTCTCCTGAACCTAGCATACAGCTCAGTTATAGTTTTATACAGGGAAATGTATTCTGTAAGTTTGTTTAGGTCCCATCCCTCTACTCCTGCTGCACACTTTCCTGCAGCTAGAGCATATGTCGGTGCCAAACTCTGGGAAGCACTGGAGTCATCTCAAAACTGCTTTCAAGGTTAATATGCTGTCAACTGTTTATCATTGGTTGGTCTCATTTAACCAGGAGCAGGAAGATCAGTCACAGAATCATAAAATGGTAGCACTGGAATGGATCTTGTAAGTCATCTAACCAACTCCTTTATTTAACATTCCAGAAAACAGGGGTGCCTGGGTGGCTCAGTCGTTAAGCGTCTGCCTTCGGCTCAGGTCATGATCCCAGGGTCCTGGGATCGAGCCCCGCATCAGGCTCCCTGCTCCACGGGGAGCCTGCTTCTCCCTCTCCCACTCCCCCTGCTTGTGTTCCTGCTCTCGTTGTGCCTCTGTCAAATAAAATCTTAAAAAAAAAAAAATCCAGAAAATAGGGTCCCAAAGAGAGGTGCAGAATCCACTCCAGTAGCTGCAGCTAACTTATGCTATGGCTAGTTCCTAAGACTCAGATTTTCTGCCTAATTAGTTGCTTTTTCCTAAGCCCCACAATACCTTGCCACCAAGCAACAAAAGATGATTGGAAACCGCACAATGTCAGAGACATTATGAACTAGAGAGGTGTGTCCTTAAGGGTGTCTTTTTTGAGTTGGACAATAAATCATGTGTTTGAGAAGATACACTATTATGTTCTTTTATTCTTTTCATGCAAGGGCACTCCTCAGAGAAGGAAAAAAAGATTAGTCAGGCAAGACTAAGAGAAACCCTCAAATTTCCTGAGAAATGGGTATGAAAGTGGGTGACCATTTTTCTGCAAGTGAATAGTTAATTTAGAAAGCACAGTTGGTTAGTCAAACTGTAAACTGTGTGCATGTGTATTTATTTTGACTCCAAACTAGAAACTCTATGACCCAGATCATTAGTTTAGTCTAATCTGATGATTATTTTAATTGAAAATATGTATTATCTTATAAACAGGATGTATTTTCAAGCTACTATCTAAACAAAGGAATTTGTTATTAAGAAACAATATACTTTTCAGATTTTTAGCTTTATTTCAGAAATAAAGCTTTAAAAGTAGAAACAACACTGGAGCATCCTTTTAATAATATCCCAAATTATGGGAGTAAGTTGGTTCTGAAAGTTCAGTTATTTTAAACACATTCTATAATACTAAACCCTCTTCAACAGAACTAAATGAGTGTATTACAGTGAGACTCCAGTGTTATCTACATTGTTTTGCTAATGCTGCTTCTTATATATAATTATTAAAAATACAAATAACTTGTAGGGCAATTATTTCTTCCACATAAGAGAATTCTATATTTAAGTTAATAATGAACTACAAACTAGAAGTCTAAAATAATTTAAATCTCCTAAGATACCAGTTTCCCAACACAAAAATTTTGGATTTTTCAAAATTCTAGCACATGGTGCTAGTGGATAACGTATTAGGGAAAGCAAAGCTGTATGTGTGCACATCGCTTCCATTTTGATGGTCTCTGGTTTCTCAGCTGGGCCATAACGCAGCAAAATGGCAGTGGTATATTATACCTGGTCATGGCTGGCTTCAATGGAGCTTCCAATAGCATGGAAAGTCATCTGCACAGGGGCTAATGTCAGACAGGTCACACACTCTTTGCCACTTTGTCTATCACAGTAGTGAACCTATAACAGAACACATGCAATCTGCTGAACACCACTTGTGAGAGGGAGCCAGATGCAAGAGGTCCTTTCCAAAGGCTCTAGATTTCCAGAAGAATTCAATCAATTTATGCAGAACACATTTTAAATATTCCTTATCCGGACCTTCCAATATCTATGGAAAATCTATTAATTCCATTTTAAGTACTTTTGAAGTTTTAAAAAAGTTTAGGAAATACTTTATAAAATGTTTTACATTATTATAGCCAGTAGAAAAATTCGCAATTATATGCTATACCTGTCTTTGTAAGTCCAGCTTTTCATAATGCATGATGCTAAAGACTCAAGGGTAAGCATAAGTCAAAGTTCACTTGATTCCAATGGAATTTTGTCAACCTGAATTTTCACTCATCTTTGACTCTATGTGTTTGATTGCCACTTAATTGGTAGTGACATTCTTCTATTTCTACATTATAGTCCCCATAAAACCACTGTTAAATATATCTAGCTATCACTACATCATGTTCTGCTTGACATTTTGACATTACAATCAAATTGAATTAAACTAAAATATTTTACTAAAAATATTTTACTATATTATTTATTATTTTTTAGTTAAATACAATCAACCATTATTAAAACCACATGTAAGACATTCCATATCAGAGGTAGGGTAAATGGGGGTAGAGGGAAGTGTGAGTCCATCTTCCCAGTGGGAAAATTTCCATCCTCTCATTTATCTACTTTCACAGAAGTTCTTTCAAGCAGTGCTTATTTTATTTCTAAGCTAACAAAGCAAAAACAGCATTGCTTTTGTAATAAATTAATGAAACATGCCTATAGAATGGAATTCCTACTAATTTTAGAGAAAATTGGTTTTATTAGTTACAACTTGCTCAATTTGTTAAATGTATATAGGTCTAGGATAAAAGCTTAGGTGAAAATCTTGAATTTGTGAGGAAGAAAATTAAACACATATTAGTTCCCTGAGGTTTAATTCTGACTGCTGTATAATACCCATAATATACTTTTATTATAGATTTTGGTCCATGTATATTTTGTCATGGATAATATACATCTGACTGAAAATGACAGCTATATGGATCTTAGTCTCATATTTAATAATTTAACTTTTTTAAGCTGGTAAGGGCTAAGATTTGCCATCAGTTTCCCTGAAGGTAGGGAAACTTCCTGGTATCTATAAAAAGTAGTTTAGAGTTTAAATCAAGGCAACATACAAAGCTTGTTTCCAAAGTACTTTAAAGATTTTATTATAAAAATATTTTTTCCAAGTTAACTTTGGGGGAAAAGACTTGACAACAGTTCTAAATCACCATTACTATACCTCCTAAGCAAACTGAAAGGTCACTCAAGTATATATGAGTTCAAGAATGTGGAAGTGTTGTTTACTATGCATCAGCTAAATATGATGGGGGAAAATGAAACTTATCACATAACAGGTTTATGCAAAAGCCAATAAACAGTGACACTAAAATAGCTATAGTTCCCAGCCATTTATGGTACCGTTAAAATATTACGTCGTATATAGTGCTATTATAAAACATGCTTTTTAAAATAAAATATAACTGCCCTTTGACATCAATTGAAAGTCTGTATGAAAGACATGACACTTCCCTAAATATCCAAATTGACAGTGAATACACTTCTTAGTTAGCCAATTTATTGCAGTTCTACTTTTTCTTCTAGAGAAATGAAAATCACAAAGGACAGAAATACGACAAGACAATCCCAGTAGAAAATATAAACTCCAAACTGCATTTGCATCCATGGCTTAGATACTATTACTGAAAGATTTAACTTTCTCCTAACTGTACACAATTCACTGGAAGCCTGCAATACACTATGAAACACTGTGCATCCGGCAGCCATTCAACATTGGTGACCATATAGAACTCATATAGAACAGATAAATGTAAAGGTGTAACTTTGCACATAGCCACAAATAAAATGTCAGAGCATCCAGTGAATGTGACAGGGATTGCCAACTGTCCTCCAATATTCTTCCACAGTAATTCCTAGCTAGCTACTTGAATGCTCAGAATAAAGTTCATATTTCCTAGGCTCCCTTATAGCTATGACACCATGTGGCTGAGTAGAATGTAAACAAAAGACTTCTATAACAGCTTCCTGGAAACTTTAAAAAGAGATTTCAAGTGTCTGCCTTTTCCTTCCTCTTGACTCATTTTGTCAGCCTGTTGCTTAGAATATGGGCGGACATTACCATCTTTGGCCAAAGGACAAGGGCTGAAACCTACAGATGGCAGGGTGGTGAGTAGGCAGGAACCTGGGTCCCTGAAGACTCCATGGAACAGACCCATCACACTAGCTCTGGACTGCAAGCTTACAGACCTTTCCATGAGAAAAGAATAAATACCTATTTTATTTAATTCACTGGGCTTTTTATCACTTACAAAGAATCTATCCCCATGGGACTTTTTCTGCTGCCCCAGAATCAACACCAGGCAAACAACCAACAACAAAAGGAGCTCTAAAGAGCTGCCAACATTTAGGCTAGGCCTTACTCCCAACCCCTTAGTAAGAGTCAGCAGAACTGGTCCAACCATAAATAATACACAGAGGAACTAGGAAGGGGGAGGTGCAGGGGAAGGAATCATCTTGACTGTCACCCTTATGAGGAATATAGCATTTTCAATGAGTGGGGTAGCTCTAAGAAAACAGCTGATACAGAGTGGGAGTACTTATATTCTGTCCCCTAGCAGAATCTATAGGCTTCCTCTGAAAAGAAATCTTGACTGAAATCAATGTGTGCCCCTAGCAGTTTGGAAACATAGGAAAATAAGAGATTGAGTTTGGAGATATCTGAGAGCTTGCTGAAGGAGTCTAGGCACACAGTGTGCCTGAAATCAAAAAAAGGACAAAGGGAGATATGCTCACCCTACATATTCATGGCCCTTGGAGGGAATGAAAGAGAATCTCAGCAGAAGCCAAAGGGATACTCAGGCCAAACAAAGAGACACCTACCAACAGAGGGGGTCAGGGGCAAGGACCATTGGTAAAGTCCAAAGGAAATATGGCTATCCCTCAGGGACAGAGGGAACTGGAAGAAATTAAACGCTACCTCAAGAAAATCATGAATATCATCTACATGGAAACCAGCAGTGGATGCAACCAGGTTAGGGTGGCATCTTCCCCTACCCTGGTCCCACTCCAGACTTCCCAACACCAGCGCAGTAAGGCCATGAAATGAAACAGATGGAGTATGGAGGAAGAGATCTCAAAAGCTCCCACCCCACCAACTACAAATATTCAAAGGCACTGGAGTGAGAGGAAGGGAACAAGAAATCAATGTACTCCCTCCCTCCTCCAAGTGTCTTGAGCCAAACTGACTGGCTTGCCAGGGTGGGGATCAGAGTTTGGCATTTTACCATGAACTAGATTCAATTTTTTAAAACTAAAGGTAACTAGACATCATAAATGGGAGATCTGACAGAGTATGGAGGAAAGTGGTGCCTGGAGAAATATAAAATCATCCCATGTTATACCTCCACTGCACTGAGACTGCCTAATAGGCCATATAAAAGTATATGAAAAATACAGGAAACTATTGATTGAGGACACAATTCCACATTAAACAAAAAGTAATAATCTACAGATAAGAGCCCTTAAGAATCACACTTTACATACCACTCCATCAGCCACTTGTAAAAACAAGTTCGATATGGCTCTGTTCAGTTTTATATTTTCTTCTTGGACATAACAACATTAGAGTTCATAAAATTGTGAATGTCAAAAAAAAAGATAATCTGTAAGTGACATTTTGAAATTCATCCTTCTACACAGAAAATTGCTTCCTATGATTCAAAGCATCAGCAGAAGCCAGAATTTTTAGGACCACTAGCCTGAAATAATTAGGGTAATAAAATCCCACTACCTCTTGTAATGCACAAATCTTCAGAACTGACAGAGCAACATCTTTCTAACACAGCAGTGTGTTTTTACAAATGTGGTCCTAAAAATTTCACTATGCGATGTCACAGGACCCTTGATTTTGATTAAAGAAAAGTGAATAAAGATAATTTTAGGAGATTACAAAAGTCATCTTCTATGTGTACTTTAAAATTTATTGTTTATAAATCGTATCATTTTGCTATCTTTGGTACTCTAAAATGTTAGCAGTTGATCTTGTTTTTTATAATGTTATAGCACTTGTTTTGGATTTATAACACTATCAACTACTGTAAATTGACATTTTGTTTCTTTCTTGTGGGTCTACAAAAATTATTCCATTAGAAGATGGGCCAAAAATTTCAATATATGTAAATTAAACAATGTGGCTGTCTTTGAAATTTACAAATCTAGAACAATCTTTGTTTTAAAATAAGTTTCCTAGGGGCGCCTGGGTGGCTCAGTTGGTTAAGCGACTGCCTTCGGCTCAGGTCATGATCCTGGAGTCCCTGGATCGAGTCCCGCATCGGGCTCCTTGCTCGGCAGGGAGTCTGCTTCTCCCTCTGACCCTCTTCCCTCTCATGCTCTCTCTCTCTCTATCTCATTCCCTCTCAAATAAATAAATAAAATCTTAAAATAAAATAAAATAAAATAAAATAAGTTTCCTAGTTTTGACTTGTAATCACATAAACCCAGATGAGATGCTATAATTGTCCATTCTAATACTGATCTTGCCAGTCCAGAGATTTCTTTTTCCTGAAGGGAAGACACACATCACTTCAACTATTCATATAACTTGAGAAATAAAGAAAAATGGTATAAGCCTTAGAATAATTTACATTAAAAGCTAGGTATGTGAATTTTTTCATGCCCATTTGAAAATATGAGGGGGCATCCAAATGAAAATGTGAATTCCTTACCTCCTATCTCCAAAAAACGTTGAATAAAACCATTTCCTGCAGGGCTGAACTTCCTTGATGTTGCAGGACTACTACATATTTTACTAATCTCAGCAGGAAACTGGTTAACTGCTTGTCTGTCAGATGTTTTTAATGGTCACCCCCTTGGGACAAAAATGAGGAGGGTGTGAAAAAGAC